CAAACCCACACACACAAAGGGAGTTTATGGCTTTTCAAACAGGCTACCCCTCCTGAATGAAAGACCAGCCAAAAGTAGTCTAAGGGAGACTGACTGTCCATGAATTTTTTTACTGCTCTTCAGGCTGAGACACCTGGTCCAGAGCTTAATATAAACTGTATTTCTATTAATATTATTACATTTTGGAAGAATGGTTAGTCCCTACCTACTCTCCTTAAATTATCACCTGCAATTAATCCCCAACTTTGCTGCAGTTTTCCTTAATTTCTATTTTAGTTACTTTTCACTGTTTGGGTTAATGGCAGTCTTTGGTTTTTACTGGACTACACTGTGGAGTCACAGCTTGCTTGATAATCTTCAAGCATTGCCCCTCCTCCTTCCTTGGTCGGCAAGAAGTACAATGTCACTCCTGAGCCAGCCAGGGGGGCTCGTTACACCGTAGGTGTCGTGTTCGTGTCTTTGTACTCATGTATGTGCTGTGTGTGTTTATGCGCGGTTGTTTGTGTCTGCGTGTCTGCAGTGCTCCTACTGGTCTCAAAGGTGGTGCCCTGGGCTGTCATGCTCCATGTGCTGACACGGCGGCCTTTGGTCACCATGACGGAGAATTCATACAGCGTGTTGGGCTTCAGATCTGGCACCGTGTAGCTCAGGTTGGTGGTGTTGACCATCTGGGGAAAAACGAGCAAAAGCGGCAAACAAGAAATCAGTTTGTGAGACGGCAGAGCCGCCGAACAACCCTGGAAACGGTTTTCCGGCAGAGAAAAGAATAGAGCTGTGTGATTTTTACTAACTGAATAACACCTGCAGATGTCTGGCTTTTCCAGACTAACAATCCAAACACTAAACACGTCAAGTTTCAATCTCAGAGAGAACAAAAACATTCACGACTGAGAAGCTGAAGCAAGGCGGCGTTTCAGAATCATTTAAATGCTCCTTCAAGTATAAAACCAGCTCCACAGATCAGTAAGACCTGTTTTAGTTCTAAAATAAATTACCAGTGTGAAGCATTCACATTCACGAGGCATTATGTGCACTATCCAGTGTTTGGAACCACATCCTTTCCATCTTTTGATGGTTTCAATCATGTTTATACGAAATACTCAGTTTTCACTTTATTAGGTACGCCTTGCTAAAATGAGCAAGGTCTGATGAGGTATTAATTCAACCTCACAGTTACAGCCAAAACAGGGCCTATTTACATCATTAAGAGTAAATATGGCAGGTAAACAACAAAAGCAAAAAAAAAACAACCTGTCAATTTAAAAATAAATTACATTTTTAACCACCAACTAATATCCTGAACATTAAAACCTTCATGAAGTGGGGTTTTATTGCAAGACTTTTGCAATGGACTGAGTGCACAGTGCCACAAAGAAAGTGCATCATTTACAAAACATCTGTATACGTTATTAAGCGCTAGTGAACTATTTAGAATCTTAAGTTACGCAACATTTATCTCGAGCTCCACTGGGATGAACCAGCATGAGAAAAAAAGTAGTCGTAGCAGCACAGAATCAGGTTCTCCAGTGTCCTGTCTATAATGTTGCGTGCTATGGCAGAAGTGCAGCTCTCCATTGGGGGCTGTCAAACAGAGGGCAGTAGGATAGGAAATGAAAACACCCTGTTCTTTAGAACCATGCAGCCTGTTAGAGAGCAGTCATCCCTTCAATAATGTACAAGCGTGTCTGTGGACTTGCACTAAGGGAGGCATTAAGGTGAAGGCTTTACTGCTGGTATACCTCTTGAGTACAGCTATGTTTACATACACGATGTACTGTAAAGTTTCAGAGCCTCTCTAATAGACATCATAATATATTAGATTGGTGATGAGCCTCAGTGACACAAAACGTTTTAAGCATCCATTCATGGCAGCAAGCTGAGCAGTACTCCATATATCTGTAGTGTTGTGGATTTACATTGTGTTAATGAATCTGCTGTGTAACAAGGCATCGCTCAAATTCTCCCTCCATTTCACTTTGAGTGACAACAAACCTTTGCAGTTCAATGGAAGCCTCAAACAAAAAACACTGGGTGCCAGCATCCGGTGCAAGACCTGGATACTGAGTCTCCGTACGTTTGTGCATACACCTTTCAAGGTGGCGGTATGGAGAATGCACCGTCAGATCTACGCTCTCTTTTTCTAGTTCTCAGTTCGCCTCGTCCTTGTTGAATAATTTATCGGGAAATGCCGGCCTTTATCTGAGCTCTGCTCGGTCACAGGTTTGCACACATGCATGATACAAGGACCACACACACACACACACACACACACATCCGCTGCGCTCTATTATTTGGAGATAAGTAATCATCATAATTGAGCTGCAGCTCAGGAATTGGAATCGGAATCTCAAACAGCCTGTTCAAGGCTCGGCTCACAGTCACTACAAATATTTTAACTCTTCAGAGAGAGTGCCTCTTGATTTGCATCTGTTGGACACTAATCCCAGTAAATAAATGTACGATTCTCATGTGGTGTTCTTCACTGATGAAGAACTATTGTTAGGATTTTGTAACAAACCAAAACAATTATTTTTTTTAAACACAGGAAAATCTGCTTGTTTAAATTCCTCAAATGAAGTTTAGCTTAGCTGAGCTGTTCAAGTACAATCACTCACTATCTTTGTATACATCTCTCGACATTGTTACTCCCTCATTTTCATTTCTCATGTTCATGACTATTTGTTTGGCCACTTACGTTTGCAATCCTGCCAGTCCTTGAACTGCTTCAACTCATACAAAGGGTGCTGTTCAAGCGATTAATTGATTAATCCAATTCTGTGCCAATGTCTGTTAGTTTCGGGATCTGCCTTAACCACCTACTTGATTTAAATTTTACAGGAAATGCAGCATCATATGATCCAGTGTTTGCTTTCACCCTCGCCCTTTGCTGATCGCTCTTCTGAGTCATTCTAAGTTAAGCTATTGCTAACTCAAACTAATATCTCAATGAATCAGCTTTTTTAAAACTGAAAGGAGCGATGGAGCTGCACACGTCTGACTTCCTATGGACGTAACTGACCAACTTTTTGTATTTTCATCCAGCGCAGAAAGGAATCAGACTGTAGCTGCTTGTGGAAAGATGGGGGGGAAAACCAGTTGCTGACAGGCTTCTTTATGAAAGGAACATGAGTGTGTGAGGCTGCACTGTAAACAAACGCACCAGCTGCTCTTCTGCTTGACAAAGTAGCTGCTAAAGGACTGTTTACTCCAGCCATTGATAACACAAAGACTTCTACTCAGAATCCAGCTGTTTTAAAAAAAAGCTAACTTCATGTAAGACACTAACGAGCAGGACGACCAATCATGTAAGAGCAAGTTCTGAGTTCTGATGATCATAAAAGTGCAGAGGATCAGTTCGTCTTTATAGCCCTTCAAAGGTTGAATGAAAACAGATTATCACACTGGTACAAATACCATGCTGCCCCCGAGCTTGGGAGCTGCTGTGGGAATACTTAATTATATATGCCCTCATATGACATCACTTTTTATTTTCAGCGCATCAATACGAATATGAAGGGATGCACAGAAATAAACTGAAATCGTACTATATTGCTGCATCACTAATGTTTGGACACAGCGATCTGATTTGACTTGTTCTCCGTGCTAAATGTGTTGCTTATTTGAAAGCGTTGAACTGAACCAGAAACAGTTGAATGAGCTCCAAAGATAAAAAAAACAAAAACAATAAAAGTCTAACTAAACCTGCTTTGGTTAAAGAACTGATGTCGAATTGTAAATCTGATAAACTGAATGCAATCATGCGAAAGAAGAATCTCTTACCTTCACTTTAGTGTTGGCAGGGATGTTGGTCTTCCATCGCACTGTGTAGTAGCGGTTATCTGTGACCTTTTGGCTCTTGGGCAGCGAGTTGTCGGCCCAGGTCACCTTGATGGTGTCGTGGCTCAGCACCGACGCCTGAACGCCCACCGGCGGCATCATGGGGAGAGGGTCTGGTACTGGGGTGTATGGAGCATGTAAGAGGTCGTACAGGTCAACATCGGGGTCTACAGGGTCAGGACATCAGGCCATAAAACCCAACATGCATGCGCACAAAAAATTAAAATGAGCAAATTAAAACGGAATGTGAAGCGTGGTGGATCAGACAGTGGAGCCAAAACAGGACGTGGGGAGGGACGCAGAGGAAGAAATAAGGTTAATGCGTTAAAAATGCAGGACGATGGTGAGGGAGGAGGGGGAGGAGGGGGAGGTGGATGGTTAAGTGCAACAGGGATGGGATTGGGAAGGGTGAAAAGAAGGAGAGAGAAGATTCTATTAGAAAAACAGACACTGACCTCTACAATAAGACCAATCTACAGAAGCTACAGTACAGTATGTGCTGCTCTATCAACTGTAGCACTACGGAAAGAGAGGAAGAGATACTCTATTCATTAAGAAAAGATTACAGTAAATGGAAAACCGGAGTGAAAGAAGACACCCGTAATCCCGCTGCCAAAAGTTACATATTAATGTCAACCCAGTCATTTCAAAGAAAGAGTCAAAACGCATTTACAGATGTTTACATCATGGAGCTTTTACAACATTTTAAAGCAAAGTGGATGAACAGACGGGACACTGAGTGCCCAGGAATATCTTCCCAGAGAGCTGCCGAGAAGGCGCATTATGTTCTTGAAAACTGAAGAAGGAAAACTGAGGATTTAAGGAAGAAGCCTGGAGGCACAGAAGAGGGGAGAGACACTAACAAATGGTCCTGCGGTTGAGGGCTTGTGTCATATTGCTGCTTTTGTTGTGCGGCTCAAAGGTGGAAAGCTTGCTGCGAGAGGGCGAGGTTGGTTGCTCCCTGTTTCCAGTTGCAGTCCCTCTTAGAATCAATGCTAGATAATGACTTGTATGCTCTTTTAAAAATATACAACTGAAAATATATGCGACCAAACATCTTTAAAAGTGTTAGATTCAGACAGTCAGCTTTGTGCTTAGCGCCTTTACTTAATATGGGTAATTTTATACTAGGATATACACTCACCAGCCACTTCAATAGGTACACCTGCTCAACTGCGAATGCAAATATCTAAACAGGCAATCACATGACAGCAACTCAATGCTTTTAGGCATGTAAACAAGATAAAGAGCCCCCACCCCAAAAAAAACAAAACAAAACAAAAAAAACGTGATGCTCATCCTGAGTATTTCAGAAACTGCTGAGTTTACAGAGATCAGAGGAGAGTGAGCCGATAGCACTGATTACAACCAGGGTGTGTAGAAGAGCATCTCTGAACACACAACGTATTGAAGCAGATGGGCTACAGCGGTGAGGACCACACACTTCTCCCACTAAGAACAGGAAACTGAGGCCATGGTTCTCACAGCCTCACCAAATTTGGACAGTAGGACACTGGAAAAAAAACGTTATGAGGTTTATGAGCCTCGGCGGCTGATGCGACATTCAGATGGGTCAGAATTTGTCATAAAGGTGGGGGAACAGCAGATTGGCAACTGTGTGATGAAGTCATCTTAACAGCATACAGGACTATGGTCGCTCCGGCACCTTTCCAAATGCGTGTCAACAGAATTAGAGCAGTTTTGAAGGGAAAGAGGGTCTAACCATTACAAGTGTGATGTACCAAATGAGTGTCCGGTGAGTGTATGTGTGGTGCATTTTGGAGAAATGCATAGATAATTCAGTAAAAAAACACAAATACTTGAATACTAACAATATCATAATACTACTGTCTCTCCAGTTTGCACAATTCTCAGCAGTACTCAACCAGAGCTAATTAAGTAAAAGCTTCCATAGTGTAATATTAATATCTCTTTAAATGTTGAGTGGGGTTCAAACTAAGGGTCCAACAGGCAGCTGCTGGCCATCATGCTGAATGATAAACACTTTAAGATGACCTCGTGGCCGGTGAATTCACTGCTCACAGCTCTGTCCTTGGTTTAGCTGTGACTGGAGAAAAAGCTCTGGTCCGTCACCCGTGATGACACTCCTCCTCAGCCCACTTGTTGGCCCTCTACTCTCTGCCTCGCTCCATTTGATGCCTCTGTACATAGCTGCCCTCATTATACGCCCAAGACTGAGTCACAGAGTTTGTGTGTGCGTGATGAAGCGCCAAGCATTCATGCGGCTGTGGAGAGGCACTGAGGTTTTGGAGTGGCATGCAAGCTACATTTCTTTACCCAGGCTGGAAGAATACAGCGTTCAATATTGTGAAGGAGAAAAGGCTGACTTGCCCTTGTGGAAAAAAAAACCTTTTTGAAATAGAGGTGAAATATTTCATTTCCTGCTTTTCAGTTAAGCGTCGTATTATAAAGTATTCAGCCTAGCACTTTCTCAACCAAAGTTCACCAAGTTTTCCTCAGTTTTTTTCAAAAGTAAAAGTACTATGTAGGTCAGCTTGTCTTTTTAATCCCGACTTGAACAAACTGGCAGGAAGGGAACGCGCCCCCGAGGATTCAGCAGCAGACGATGGTGGTGGGCTTTGGTTCTGCTTTGAGAGGAAACGTTTGGATCTGACGAAGGGTTGCCAAAGCCACCACAGGGGGTCTGCGTGTGCACAGCTCTGTATGTGAGTGTGTATGTGAGAGGATGTGAGGAAGCGTCATAGAGAGAAGGGTACAGTATGACAGCGTGCGAGTGTGTGCGCGCACTCCGGCTGCCACCCCCCCTCGACGCATGTTGACGTGATTCATGTCATCCAGCATCCAACCCCTCCTCAATTGGTTGGTGCAATAGTGCTGCAGCAGAGACAAACTGGAGTGATCAAGGCTGAGCGGAGAGGTGGGAGGCTGGATGGGAAAAAGAGGCGGGTGCAGCCCACATTCTGGGACACCCCAGGGTGCATGGGCTGGCTGTCTTCTGACACTGTCACATAATCTGTGTGAACTCCACGAACACGCAGTCTAACTGGCAGTGCCTCACGCTTTAAGATCATTTGTCAAGCACCCAGGATTGGGACTTAAGTCCTACTTTTAATTGTGTGGCTGGCAGCCTAACAGGACTGTCCATATTCTGCGGCTGTTTTTAGTCTGCAGCACAGAGAAAACTGCGTCTCAGAGTTCGACTGATGCTGGATATTTCAGGTCAGTGCTGATGTCTGCCAAAATCCCATTACGCTAACATTGCATAATGAACATTTGTGATGAGGCTCTTTTGAAGTCGGTTATGAAAGACTTCATACAAACTTGTCGCTGCATAAAATATTCTTCTTTTGCCTGATGAAGGTTTTTTTCCTTCTTTACTTAAAAAAAAAAACCTCAAGTAAAGCTTCTGCCGTTCATCCTGGTTAAAATATCCATAATCACTCTCACACCAGGACTGATAGTCTGGGATAAAAAAATTAAGGGGTTTGCTCACTTGATTAAAAAGAGACTCAAGTATTCTGGGGGCCATGATGAAGAGAGTTAATTAGAGCAGTGAGACTCCCCGATGACCCATTATCTGTCTGGTAATTTGAAGTCGAGACACATTTTTTCTGATAATGACGGCGGATTAGAGAGAGCGAATAACTGTAACTCAGAATTTTTTTTTTTTTTACAGCCACACGGTGCAAGGAGCACTGCTCACATTACATGTGATCTGAAGAACAACAAGATGAAGAGACTAAATGTGACCACTTCAAATGTTGCCTCTGAGCGCTTCAAGGTGTAAGAAATCCACTATCGCTTCAAATAAGAAAAGCCATTCGACATGTGGATGTGTCTGGTTCCTACCTGACTGTGCTCTGGTGACGGCGCTCTCGTACACGGGAATGCCTTCACCCACGTTATTGAAGGCTTTTAGTGTGATCACGTAGTGGGAGCTGGGGTCTGTGAGAGAAAGAGAAGGATGGGGGGGAATAAATTGATGCAGCCACCTCATCAACCAAAACTCTTGAGACGCTCAGCTTGAGATATTAGCAGAGCGAGTATTTGAATACAATCAGTCCTATTACAGCCATTATAATAGAGACCTCAATTATGCACATATACAGTACTGTGTAAAAGTCTTGAGCCAACCCTCATCTCTTTACATGTTTCTTCTTCTATCAGATGGATCAGCTGAAAGGCCAGGTGTATGTTTGGTGGGTCTTTGGCGGATTTGATTCAGATGCAGTTCATCTGCTGAAGTCTAAGAAAAGCGTCTGGACTTTTCACCTCTCATCGAGGTGAAAAGTCTTGAAGACACTTTTCTTTCCAAGCTCCTTAGACTGCGTCTGCCACTTCTTTTGACCCAACTAGTCCAGTTTTTTTCAAATGTTTTCTGTTTTAGGGACACACTTCACACCAGCTAATATTCAGCTAATAGCCCTTTGGGATTCACATTGTTGGGTCAACAATACCATTTTAAGTATGTCAAACTGTTATCTTTGGCATTTTTCACAGATTCTACTAAAGAAATAGGAACAAATTCTGTGTTTTTGTGACAGGCTGCTAAGTAGCAAAGTGCCTAAAGATACAATGTAAAATTTGTTCTTCACCAAGTCATCTGCTATGTGTAGACACAACGCTGATCCATTCCTTTAGTTAGGTGTCTTTTGTATGCTTGAATGATTCATAAGTCAGTGTTAAGTGGCTTAACAGATGAAACTCTGAAAATGGTCAGGTTCAAGGGATTGGACTAAAAATGACTGAAAATAAATTGATGTCCAAATAAAAACTGTGAAAAGCCTTCAGAAAGCCTCATTGGAAGAAAAATATGAAGAAATGGTTGAAAAATTCCTCCCTGTGTCTCTTTTTTCTATCCATCTTCTAGGCCCCCTTACTACAGCATTTAGACAGTGATCAGCTGTGGCAGTAGAGTGTGATGATAGAGTGTGATGCGCATTATATACTTAGAAGAACAAAAAAAAAAATCAAATGTTTCTTGAACGGTGGTTCTATCAGAGCAGAGCTTCCTGAGGTTTAAAAGGAATTAACTTTAATTTCATCATGTAGGTTTTAGAGTCAAATACAGTTTGTGTGAGCTTCCCAAAGGCTGCATTGATCACATGCGGAGAAATGGCCCTCGTGCAAAAGAAGAAGCAGAATATTTTAATGAGGTAAAACTGGTTTGATGACAGCGAGTGCTAAAACCACCAAATATTTTATTCAAATATCATGACCTTTAATTATTGTGTGCCCATTAGGCCAATCTGTATAATTAGCAGCTCAGGCGTGTGGTGGAGAGGATCTTATTAATTCTCTAAACACTCACTGTGGGGTACAGATGAATTAATTCAGTGCTTGTGCGTCTGCCTGTGTGTTTGCTTATAATACACAAACCATTAATTAAACTTGGCGTATAAAGTATCACATCAAATAGATCACATTAACATTTTGTCTGATAATGATTTGACACGTGGATCATTAGTATTTGATCCTCATGTGTAACTATTTTGGGGACAAGAATGTGCACACATCGATACAAAAAGCTGAAAGAAACACATGTGAAGAACAAAAAGGGAGCGACCGTTCTTACCGAGGTTCTCGATAGTGAAGTAGCGCTGCTTGTAGTCCACCTTGATGGTCTGCGCGTGTGGACTGCCGATGCCGTAGCCAATCGCGTAACCGCGCACCATAATGTCCTGGTTCTCCGGCGGCGTCCAGCTCACCACGATGCTGTTGACCAGCGGCCGGACGTGCAGCGAGCTAGGCTGGTCCGGAACACGGGACTCTGATGGGGGAGAAGCAGGAAAAACTTCAGATGAGGAGGAAAAATAAATGCTAAAATAAATAATTGCTCAAAACCAAGTGACAGCTTCTGGTTTAGTAAAACAGCTGACGTTACCATCCAAGTCGCTCTCAAACGTCTCTGCCGTCATCCACTCGGTGGCCGGTCCCGTGCCATTTACCGTCATGGCTGACACTCGGAAGGAGTACTCCGTTCCATGCTCAAGACCTGGACGGCAACACCAACACATCAGCCTGAGATTCCAAGCTGGAGTATTTAAATAGAGCTTTGGCCAAAATGACCCCCCAAGTCAACTCCTCCATTAAAACCTCTCTCAGTCCTGGTTTTACTACTGGTGCGCTCTGATTCGCTGGGTCAGTTGGGCTTTCAATAACACAAATATTTTAAAGCAGATACCTGATACGTCTCTCCACGGCTTAAGGAGAAAATCCATAACTCGCCTAATCTATATTAAAGTTGATTACATTTTATTTTCACATCTGATGAGTACGATTCAATGGGATTTAAAGAAAAACACAACACTAGCCTTTAAAACAAGTTAAAAAGAGAGTGTCTGATAAAAAGTAGCACAAAACGAGAGACACTAAGAGCAGAAGTTTTTAAAAAAATGGTAGTCTGGATTAATTCATATTTTAAAGCTATATCTCCCTTAGAGTGAGCTGCAACACCGCTGGGTGCCAGCTTTGGTATTCAGAGAAGAGGGGAACGCCTGCTGACAAATGATGTGTCGCTGTATTAATTTGCTGCAAAATTTTTCATCATCGCCGTATTGTCCCATTTGCACGCTACATGCTAATCCTGTACTCTCTTCGCTCTGTACCCACTATTCTGGGCCGCCCTTGGGGGTAGCTTCTGAAGACTGACTAACCATCCGTGCCTCCGAGGCTACAACATCTTCTTCTAAACGCTTCTGAACCAACAAACACCCCTGTGTCCCCCCCCCACAGAATGTTCTACAAAAATCAACTTTTAAGTGTATATTCTCTTTGATGCAGCACACAGCGTGAAGCCGGGCCACTTGAAAGTTGCTGAGGCGACATCTAATATTAATCACCGCTGCCGTGCCTCTCTTGTGATATTGTGCATATTTTGCTGATAGCGGTGGGTAATGTTAGGGTACAATAGGACATGTAACTCAATTGCAATGGGTTTAGAAACTGATGTGTGGATGTTGAGTAAATAAACAGGCCCGCAGTTAGTCTGACTAATCCCATGAATCATCCGATACGCATCTTCAGGCTCAAGATAAGAGATTTATAAAAAAAAATTTAAAAGAAAATCCTGCACCCCATCAGACACAGCTCACACTTTCCAAGACGCATCAGATAAAGATACTAAAATATAGAGATGACATGGAGTCTGATAGCATAAAAGTTTGAGCTTAGGGCTCAGTGAAAACGTCAAAAAGGGGAATTCTTTGTGGATCCATCATTTTAAAATCTGATTCGATATGTAAATCTATGCATCTGTATCACTTTTGGGCTTTTAGACGAGGGCATAAAACCATCACAGTGATGTCATTGTTTTTGTGTACAGCTCTAAAAACACCCTGCAGACGTGCACAGTGATGCATGTGTCCATAACTGTACAGCAAAGTCTTTTGCTCACAGCACTGCCTGTTAAGAAAACTGTTCATGTCTCCTCTCCAACTTGTCTTTGCACTTTTTTATCTGGTGATGGGATGACTTTTCGTAGCTGCAGGGCGTGTATAGCTTTAAATGATCCGTCTTTCAAACCCGGTTCAGAACCTGCGTATCCAGGGTGGTTTGGAGACTTTGTTTTCAAACTGGGTTAAAAGGCCAAGCACATACAAGAAACAATTTACTAGCAGATGTGAACTATGGTGGCTCTCTTCCCACACCTGAACACCCACTGAAAGTAACTGGAGGTAAAGTTTATAGCTAAACTCTTCCTGTACACATGGGAATAAATGCAATACATTCATAAGCACTTCCACTGGTCTGAGGGAAGAGGACGGATTTATTCAAAAAGTCATTAGTCACAATTTTTTTATTCATTACCATCCATGAGCTTGTAAAGCTGGGTGCCTTCAGTGGTTTCAGATTCGCTCCTGCGGGATCCTTTCCGGTATCGTATCTTGTAGCCGGTGATCTTCCCGTTTTGGCCGCTCAGGGGCGGAGGCTGCCACCGAAGCATGATGCTCTGAGACGGGGAAAGGTGTAAATGAAACAGAATGTCATGTTTAGCACGTGCTTTTGGGGCCTGTAGCTGTAAAGGTGACCTCACAGTTTAGCAGGCGGCATCGCACCTTCCCACGCACCTTGGCGTGGACCTTTGTGTTAACAGTGTCACCGCGGTCCAAACAAGAGGGAGACCCACATCGAGCAAACACCCCCGTGAGCGCGAGAGACGCAGCGCAAACAGATGCATTAGGAAGAGATGACTATGAATAATAAAAGTTGCGATGATAAGCGAGGGGTGTGGTCAGGTTAAGCCTGCAGAGACACCGAGGCAGAGAGATGAAGGCAAGACGCTCTGCTGGCGGGCCCACGCTGCACTCTTTTGGGATGTGCGCTGCTGAGTTTTTGTGTGCCCATGTGTGTTTAAAGAGATAGGTGGGGGGTGGCTCAGCGTGGGAGAAGAGTTAATTAACGCTTCCCCACTGTCACACTGATGCACAAAAGCCCGAGTACACGCACAGGGCACGCGTGCGCTCCTCCCCAGCAGAGTCGAGGGAATTGCACAAATTAAATTTGTGTGAAGTGTGTTCAATTATTTCCATTTTTCTTATTACACTATCGGCCCCGGCTCGTCATGTCTGTTGCGTTTCTACCTTCCTGGCGCTAATCACAAAAAACAGTTTAATTGACTTTTGTAAACTCACAGGGGAAGGTGAAGAGGCTGATGCCAAAAGCAAAAAAATACAACAACAACAAAAAACCCAGAGAAGTAAGATCAGAAAACACGATGATCAGGTTGCCTTGTAGGTGAAAGATGCACCTTTCTGCTTGACAGGACCCAAAGAGGAGACCACACATGAAATGAATGTTAATTAGCCCTTTTCCACTTTGGTTGGGTGTACCGAACTAATTGCATAAATGGTTTGTATCTAAATAATTGTACTGTAATTATTCTTTTAATGGCTTGTTTACGCTCAAAGTGAAAGACAACGACAACAAAAAGAGAAAATGAGATGAATTACTGAATGACACTTAAAGGGGAAAAACAGAAGAAATCTGTCAGATGTTTGTTTCACAGCTTTAAACCGCTTGGTCCGGGCCAAAGTGAGGAGGGACAGCTGGCCTCACGCACACTATCCTCTCAGAAAACTATTCATGTCCCTTCCACAGACTGAGCCCGCTTCATTTTACTCTTAAAATTAGCATGAGAGCATTTTCTCTCTACAAATCTCAGCAGAGGATCCCTCAGCATGGGTGGCTAGCTCTAACTCAGGCTGGGAGTGTGTGATAGGATTGTCTGTCAGTGTTTTCCCTCACTTGTGCTAAGCATCGACCCGCAAAGGGCCAAAAGTGCTGGTTGCCGTTTTTGTAGTCAGTGCACACACCCCGAGGTTTTCCCTATCTCTTCTTTTTTTCTTTTTGCAATTGCTGTCTCACATGTCACGAGTGAGAAACATCTTTTGTAAAAATTAATCCCTCACTCGGGTGGGAAAGTACAATAAACAGGCCTACAGCTCTCTGTTTGAAGATCAAATGGCTGAGATGATGGGCAGCCGAGGCCCGTTTCCTGTTTTAATCAGGGGCGTGTTGTGCAGCCAGCAGCCACCTCAGCAGCCTTATCAAATAAAGCGCGTCACGCGAGAACTGCGGCATGTTTCGGCTGAAATAAACAGGATTTAACAATGAAACTTAAAAAGACTGAGAGGATGCCAGGACTTGTTGGCTGAGCTGTGGGGGAAAAAAAGAAATTGATCCAGTTATCTCTGCTCCAAAGAGAAAATTGAATCCAGATAAAATGAGATCTCACTTTTAAACAAGTAAATCTTTTTATCACGTTGCCTATAAGCCTGCTAACAAAACAAAAAAAGGTGAGTGAGAAAGTGAGATCTCTGTTACAGAGGGTGGATTGGAAACTGGTAAGCCATCACACTTCTAACCGTTTGCACTTAATGAACCGATATTGGTTGAAAAGTTAACTTTTCCAACTTACATTCATTATGAGTTGTGTTATGTTGGGTTTCAACTAGATGTCTAACTTCATTCGACCTATAAATTCTACCTGAGTATCAGTTTTAGTTAGCCCGCATCTTCCTGTATCCTATCAGATTTGAGCTGTAGGCTCCCGTGCCAGTTTCTGTACGGATGGAGTGATACTGAGGATAAAACCTTCTGACAGGCGAGTCTCCTGCCGACGAGAAGATCGATGAGGGTTCACACGCCCTCTTAACCAGCTGGGGCTACAAGGATCTGACGCAACTAATAACACAGCAACAACGGTGCACTGGCCTGCGGGCTATGTATCTGTTCAACTGTTCGTGTGCGCGAGTAAGCGAACGAGCGGGCGGGTGAAGGCGGATTTGCTCAAGCAAACACATAAACGCAATTGCTGTACAACAAACAGTCTGCAGGCAGTTTAGGTGTACCTGTAGCTTAAGTTCTCAACAAGGCAACAGAGAAACCTAAACAAGTTAAAAAGGTCCGTCGACGCTCCCTTCAGTCGAGACAAATAAACCTCACCTTTGAGTTATGGACCTCGATGGTCAGGTTTTGAGGCGGGGCACTTGGTACTGTGGAAAAATGAAAACACCAACAATTTGTTAGTGTAAAACTAAAGAAAACATAGAAATCTACATTTTGGCAGAGCTCAAACAATCAAGTTATTAATTAACTGGACAGAACAACGTTGTAAACAGAGCCCTATTAACTGAGAACCTCAAGTTTTGGACTGCTGATTGGACATGATGTGGAAGCCGGGGTTGTCTTCCTTCTTTCAGCTGCTCCCTTTTCTGCCTTCAAGTCACCTTATTGTTAGAATCCTGTTTCACATCAACCCTCCTTTGTCCTCCTTTGCTAAATCCACATTAGCTCCTTTAATACAGCAAGGAAACGGTGTGTGATGACACATTTACCTCACCAGATGTATTTTATAGTTTCAATACTCTTTATACCCCAACTTTTCAAATGCTTTTGTGGTGGCTGTAGCTCAGGAGGTAGAGCAGTGATGTTTGATTACTGGCTGCTCCAGTCTGCGTGCCAAATATCCTCGGGCAATGTACTGAACCTTGAGTTGTTCCCAAAGAGTTTGAGTGTGAATGTGTGTGAATTTAAGGCAGAAAAGCACTTAAAAAAAACCCCAAAACTGTTAAGTGAGACATGTTAAGCAAAAAGCTTTGAGTGCTCAAGAAGAGCAGAAAAGCACTATATAGGAACATTTCCAGTTACCATTTCAGTGGTGTTACAATAAAAGTCAAATTAGTGTTGGTACATTTACACTTCATCAGTCCACTAACCGTCAGACAGGGTGCGAACGACAACGTCCTCAGTGGAGACGCCAGGACCGTGCCTGTTGTTGGCCACCACACGGAAACTGTACTCTGTGTTCTTCTTCAGCCCCGCCATGCTGTACGACTGGCCGTCTACGTCAATATCCTGAATGAGAAAAGGAGGGAAGGAGAGGAACTTGTCAGTGAATTGAGAATCGTGCGACTTCCCTTGCTTAAAAAGCAAACACGCCTCTACTTTCACGGCTGCTCACCGACATCTCGATGTTTACGAACAACGGGAAAAACAAAAACCGAATATGTGAAGCTTGTACGAAAAGGAAACATTTATGATTACCTGCAGAAAAAGACAAAAACACTGATAGCACTACAGTGCAGCATTTTTATAGTATTTCACAGCCAACAGCAGTCTGATAAACGCAGACATTTAGGACCGTTCCAGTAGCTTCACAATGTGACGCCAGCCTTCATCGTTTCATCACGCTAACATTTGTGTTTGTAATTCGGTGTGAAAATGTCGTCTTCCGCAGAGACGCAATTTGTGCCTTCTGTGATTTTGACTTGCTTTGCTTTACAAATTGGGCACGCTGACACATGCCCAATTACTTCAAGCCTATTTGCATGCAGCTCTTTGGTTGTGACATTTGGAGGAAAAAAAAGGCACTTGGAGGAAACTCTAATCTTGCTTCCAGAGCGGTCCATTCCTTGACCTCTGAACTTGGGTCAGCTGATTACCTCTGGCCACGTCACCCTTGAATTCGCATCATATGTTGTCCCCGTCTTCCCTCTGCCCTTTCAATATTTAATATCCGTTCAGCACTGTGTCTCTCTCTCTCTCAGTCCGCTTCCTTCACCTCTCCTTTACTACCACTTCATCTCTCCCCCTTTTTCACCTCATCTCTGGCTCTCTCCTCCAAGGAGCTGAGGCATCATTACTCAGTGCACCGGCTGACGTTTCATCCATTATCATATTAAAGGCTTTTTAATGCCTCACTGGCTTGCACACTGCTACTGCTGGGGTTGACTCAATATCTAAGCAGCTCGATTCCACTCTTGTGACAGAGTTAGTCCTGCAGAGAAGCACCAAGTGAATCATATCTGCTTTCTTTTAGCACAATGCCCTGCTGTTTCTGTGAGACGATGAATCATTAAGAACGCCGCCAAAAATCAGCACAAAGGGTCTTGGCAAATGATTAGGGATTCTTACCTCATCACAATTTGTATGAGAAACCAATCAGTTGTACGCATTTTATCTAATGGGCCCTGCGAAATCAGGCATCAGCTTCACACACTATGCCTCGCTCACAGCGTAAACTGTGAGCAGTGAGCACACGCTGCATCTGTTTAAAGTCTGCGCTTATTTCAGGTGATTTAAGCAATTTATCACCGATAAAAGAAAAGCAAAACACAAAGACGACGTAGCAAAGCAAGCGGTGCGACATATGTTTCAGGACAATCTTGTTCAGAATTAAATAATAAAAAAAACAATCATGCAAATCTTCAATTTTACTTTAATTTTCGACTTATTTCTCCGATTAATGTGTTTTTAATTCATTGGTTTTTAAAATCTATTGTGAAGCACTTTGTAGCTTCATTTTAAAAGATGAGCTGCAATTTAAGGCAAAATGTTTTGGACACCTGTTTATGTCTTTGCTACCTGCAAACCTTTGAATTCAAAAAAAGTCTTCGCTAGGCGCTCGAGCAGCGTGAGTTTGTCCCTGGAGTGTGGTTCACGCCCTACCTGCTCTTTGCCGACGCTCTTGTCCGTGTAGTACAACTTGTACGAGAGGATCTCTCCATTGCCAGTGAGGGGTTTGTCCCAGCTGAGAGAAACGGAGGTCGGCGTGTTGGACACCCCCTGCAGGTTAGGAGCCGGGCCGGGTACTTGGACTGGTGACGAAATATCACAGGTGGACAGAAATTAGAAAAGCAGCAAGTGTGACCATTTTGTTCTCTTATCTTGAACCGTTCTTCATTTTTATTGTGTCTCATCTGGGAGAAAGAAACTAATTTACCAATTCCTAGTTCTTACCACCTAAGACATATTCTTGGCTACCTCACAGTCACATTTCCCAGCGCTAACACTGACGCCAAATTGTCCCCCTCTGGACTGGGCTGCCAGCGTGCTGATTTTCTTCCTATTCCCAGAACAAAAGCGGAAGTTTCAACAAAAACATCAGTATGCATCTAATATCCCATCACCGCTGGGATCCTGCTACCTTTGAATGTGGAAGCCTGTTTATTGTATTGCACTTGATTAGTAAACAGAATGTATATTTATATGTGTCTTATCCTGGCTTCATAATATGCTGGTATACTAGATGAATATGGGATGTAGTCCACTTTTACAATTAGCGCTGAGTTATTTTTGCAGCGGGAGCTGATCTGCTACATAACTCTGGTGCAGGAGGCTATGGAGAAACAGAACTGCACTGGTTATCTGGTGCAAACATAAATGAAAGCAGACAGGAACCTCAAACTAAATATTTCATGTAATATGCAGCGTGCTCAAAGACGCAGCTATCGTAACAAAATGTGTATCACCGTTCTAATAATCTGTGACTACACTGTGTCTACGTATATGTACATGTTACTTGTTGTGTCTGTACTGTGGCCCATCGGATTTAAAATCAAGCAGTGACTCTGAGGTTCAAGTGCCAGCTGTCAGACATGCTATATGTCTGCTCTGGATACATCTTGTAGACATTAGCTGCAGGTGTTCCTGCCAGAAGAAAGAAGCTCCCATTTGTTAGCGTGCACAGATGTTAGAAGGGTGAGAGACTGTGTGTGTGTGTGTGTGCAGGTGTGTAAAGCCCGTCTCTAAAGAGAAGTGATACAGAGGGAGTGTGGTTTGCACATGCTTGGCACTCGGATGCAGGTCAACAGTTTAAGCTCCAGTTCGTAGCATGTTCTTACATTAAAGGCGCGCACACGCGACAGAGACATACGGCACAGCTACAGCCCGCCCTCACTGCTATCCCCCTGGGTGGCTGTGCTCCTGCTGCCGGGCATTAAGATGTAGCGTGTGTGCTTTTGTGTGTTGATTCGTCCGCCCTCCAACCAAGGACACAAGTAGAGAAACAGCAGCTGACCTACAAAGTGACAGTGACTGAGCTGTAGCTTGGTCGAGAGGAGAGGGTTGTCCACAGTCTGACAGTGGGAAATCCCCTTCACAGCACTTTCAAGTGATTTTGGAGCAGCAGCCACAGAGAGGTTTACACACTCAAACACAAAGAGAGAGAGGAGAGGAAGGGAACCACTTTGCTACTCCTTCCTACAGTCGGGCTTATGTGTCCTCTATTCAAAACATCCTAATAAGTTTCTCAGTAGACTGGAAGAGGAGAGTGTTGGAATCTGGAATACTAATTTCCAGCATTCCTCACTCAAGTAGGCATGTTTTGAGCCAAACACACGGAAGATTCAAGTAAATGTAAACAAAAGTAAACAAGAAGCGGCTTAAAAGAAGAAAATGCAGCGCTTCTCTGGTCTGCTCTTGGGTGGTCTGCCTTAACGAACAGCACTAAACAGCCTTCTCTGTGTGTGCCCATGTGTGCGGGGAATATGGGATGTCTCTGTTTGAATTGAGCGTATACTGCATATGAGTGAATATTTGTTTGTGCGAATGTTTATTTGCCTCTTGTGTGCTTCCTTTGAGTGCATCCTGTTTGCATCAGTGTGAGCAGTGTGAGCACGCTTCCGACAAACTGGCTAGAGTGTGGCTTTGTGTTTATGTGTCCTGTTTACCGAGCATATATAAACGTGTGTGTGTGTGTGTGTGTGTGTGGAGTAAGTGAGCAAGAGTGTTACCTTCAGCTTGGGTGGCCACTTTAAGCGCTGCAGAGCTCTCGCCCTGGCCGTTGCTATTGTGGGCCACAACCCTGAAGCGATATTTGGTGTCTGGCATGAGGTTCTGGATGGTGACCTGCATCTCCCCTGGACGACTGGTATTCACGACTCGCTCCCTGATAGGGGGGGGTGGGGGTGGGTCGCACGCAGACAGGTAACAGAACAGTTAATCATTCTGACCTTAAATTACCCAGAAGGTTTTGTTTAGTGCTGGTTTGCAAGAAACAAAGTGAAGTGGCATTTAGAGCACCTAATATCTTGGTGCCAAACACATGTGCATAATAATGGCATCCAACTTTTTGAAGAAATCCTTATTGAGTTCACTCTTCCTATCAATGAGATAGGGAGTGTCCTCCAAAACTGAATGGTGTTTTTCTTGTATATTTTATATATTCGTGTATATTTTCTTGTTATTGAGATGCCCAGATATGTAATTTTCACATAAGTTATTTTAAATGGTAGAGATGCAAGCCACTCACTGCTTTCAAATTTGATGGGCAATACTTACTTTTTCCCCAGTTGATCCCTTAACCGCCAAAGGTGCCAAAATTAGTCAATAACGGAGAGAGTTGCTGGGATGGAAGTTTGGGGTTTTGTTATGTATAGTAAAATGTCATCAGCATAGAGCAATATAGTATTAGAGGTATATGCTGTGTCATAACCATGTATATCAGCGTGAGTGCGAATTGTCCGTGCCAGGGGTTCCAGAGCAAGAGCGAACAGTAATGGACTAAGAACACATCCCTGTCGTGTCCCTCTGCTGAGCTTAAACTGAGTGGATAATGTTTGGTTTGTAAGGATTCTGGCTGTGGGATTCTTATACAGTAATTTTATCCAGGAAATAAAATCTTGTCCCAATTGAAACTTCTCTAAGACAGCAAAGAGATAGGGCCACTCAACATGATCAAATGCCTTTTCGGCATCTAAGCTAAATATAAGTAGGTCCTGTTGCGCCTTAGAGGAGTAAATTATATTAAATAGACGTCTTAGATTGTTAAAGGAGCTCCTATCTGGTATAAAGCCTGTTTGATCTGAATGTACCAGTTTATCTATTACCATACTGAGTCTACTCGCTAGTATTTTAGCCAGGATTTTTTTGATCCGAATTTAATAAAGAGATAGGTCTATATGATCCCACTTCCTCCAAGACTACCTTTTTTTGGGAGTACAGTAATAACTGCTTCATTCAATGGTGGTGGTAAGGTGCCCACATTGTATGCATGGTTGTACAGTTTAAATAGATATGGAGCAAGTTTGATCTTGAGCTGTTTGTAAAATTCATTCCCTAACCCATCTGGGCCTGGACTCTTACCATCTTTACCATTTTATAATACACAATAGATTTAGTAATTTCTTTAGTTGTAATTTCAGCATTCAGGATCTTGCGATCCACCTGATCCGACACAGGGAGGTCACATCAGTGTCTTTCTTTTAATGTGTAAAAGGCTCAATTAGATTTTATATGTATATTATCTTTTGGCTGAGACTTTAAATTTTCTTTTCCTGTATTTCTTGGAGGCACTTTGTAACATTGGCTTTGATAATGAAGTTGATTAATATAGGACTTCCTAGTCTTAAAAATAAGTGTCATTATTAGTAAGCCTCATTATTTTTTTAATCCATTAGTTGGCATCCATTAACTTCCCAAAAAACCCCAAACCCTCCATTCTGAAAACTTTCAATTTTAATGCGTTTTCCATGAAAAATAATCCTTTTTGTACCTTAGAGTGGCTGAGATGCCACTTACCCACAGCTACTCTCCCTCTGCATCTGCACGTCCCTTCACGTCTTCATCACATGCTCTCTATGTGGAAGGAGTCCCAGTGGCCTTTCCACACTGCCACATCATTCTTTTGTTTAGTTTTTTCTTTTATTTTTTTAAGTGGGAATGGAAAATATAAAATCCGCAGTAACGGGAGCAGCTTTAAAATAAAACAAAACATCTTGATGGAATAACATTCGGAAGTATTCATTGCACTAACTTTATCTTCATGCAACTCCTTTACTCTGCTCCATATGCACGTCTGTATCACTGCTCCACACACAAAAACAGAGAGCAGAGGAGAGAAAGAAACTAGAGCAGAAACTGGCATGATTGCTAAATTAATGCTGGCACTGGTCTATAAACTAACCAGCTCACCTGTTGCCAGCAGGACCGGGAGACCTAGTTTACAACCTCGCTGAGTTATCGGTACGCTCCACGTATTTGCAGATTCTGTATATTAAAGGTTTGCTTTTGCTTACCGTCATGTTACAGAGAAGACATAAAAAAGAAGACTTGTGGAAAATCCTCTCAGCTTCTTAAATTTTATTTTCAGTCAGTAAATCCTCAGCCTGTGAAGCTGGGAGAAATTTACCACAGAACTATTTGGGGGGGGAAAGCGAGCATGGTATTTGAACATTTGTTTTTGGGGTTTTTTGGGGTTTATATTTGTTTAAGAAGGAGGTTTTGCTTTAAGTGACTGAACTTCTTGAATCAGATATTTCAGTGGTCTGAGTGTGTATACTTGAGCAATGTGCTGATGCCAGCAGTCGTGTGCGTGTATTAGTACCCCCTCCAGGAAAGTGTGGGTTCTACCTGCTCGTGCCCTCCTGGCTGTAGAAAATGGAGTAGGTCAACTCGTCCCCATGCGGCTCGGCTGGTTGACGCCAGGTCAGCTTGATGAAGCGAGTGGACACCAGCGAAGCCACGACGTCTCGGGGGGCCGAGGAGGTAGGCCCTGCTGGACTGCCTACACCTCTGGAGCCTGGTGTTACATGGTCAGTAGTGTTAGGAGTCAGTGAAGGGGGAGGGAAAGAGGGCAGGGCTACGACTTTGGGTTGGGAGGGGGTAGGGAGGGAGGGATGGTGGGATGAGAGCAAGGGAGACCGGGAGGGAGACAGCCGTAGCATGTCGGGGTCGGGTGGGAGAAATATTGTGCAGAGGTGCCCAAAAGGAGCAGGTTGAGGAGAGGAGTTGAAATGGAAATGAAAGTGGAACGAAAGAAAGGGAGGAAACAAAAAAAAGAAAAAACAAAATAACAACAACGTAACAAAAAAAAAAAAAGACTCTTGGTGTGACAAGGAACCACAATACAACACTTCTACTACACTCACAAAGCTGACAAAGAGGGAGGGACTACACATGCAGATCTACACACACCTGTCTAATGCAAGGGCAGTGGGAGCAGAACAGTGTCACACACTTAACGTTCACCAGCAGTGGCTTTCCTGCCAATCATTGGCATTAAAATGAATGATTGGACTGCATTTCTGCAAGGAGAGACACTTTGTCGTGACAGGGACAAAGTCGTCTCGTGGCCGTCTGACTTTTGTTTTACAGTAAAACAGCTTCGGACTAACCCAACCCCCCCCTCTCACTTTAGCTTCTCATAACTAACGATGCTGCTGAAGCACTTCTGTCGTCGCATTCCACAGCCAAGCCACAGAAATGTTTGTGATTTCATTTCAAGTGCGTGTGTGTGTTTTTCTTTTTTCCTCCTCCTTTTCAGAGGAACAATCTGCGGTCGGACCTCGTGAGATCTGCTTTCCATTTGCCTGGCAAGCAGGCGAAACAAAACCATACGGAAAGAATGTTAGTCCGTATGACATTTCCATTTGTTTGCAGGTCGGGGGGAAACGGACTGGAGGGTAAGGCTGAAAATATAGGAAAGGCGCATGGCAAGTGCTGTGCTCAAACGGTGTGTTATTACCGGAGAAATTGCAATGGAATGGAAAGCGGCTGCTGGCATATTTATCTGTCACAGCATGTGGACTAACCGCTAATTTGGCTTTCAGAATTTGTTTACGTATCAAAGAGTTCACCGACTTCTGTGATCATATAAAAGCCAACATATGATATAGAAGATTCTGACCCACCCCCAAAGAAAAATGACACTGTTTGTATACACTTTCTGTATATAAACACTCAAGAAACTTTAGCTTCAACTCCGTATTTATGGGCTCTGTGTATACCGAGTAATGCTCTGAAGAACTGCTGTTGAATTTGTAGCATGCTCCAGTACTTTGGATGGGAAATAAACAGATTGTCAGGCTCAATTTTAGCTTGTTTACATCTACACTCAATAAAAAAAATTAAAAAAAAAGGTACTTTTGCCCAAATTTGGATATCTATCTATGAAATCCAAACTCTCGTTAAAGTCACAGACATCAGCACGACACCTTGTGTAGGATATGTGGAGGGCCGCTTCTTGCACATTTCAGGAATGTTTTTTTTTTTTATTCGTTCTCATCTGAAAAGATGGATTTAGGTCAGCTGAGTGATGAGGCCTTGCCTTACCCTACAAAAATCCACTCCAGTGGCCAGCCAAAACTATTTTACACCATTTAGAAAAACACTGGCTGCCTTTTCCCTGCGATTAGGGTTCTTGTTCTAAAAGTGGTGAAGAAAACCCCCCAAAAAACAACCCAGCCGTCTCTCAATCGTCACCAAGCAAAGGTAATGACAGCCTCAAACAAGCTTAAAGCTGAAAGTCAGCACTCCAGCCTCAACGCCACTGTTTCATTTCAAATCCTGTTTGCTGGAGTAGTGCCAACAACAATGAAAAACACATTATCATCCTAATACTTTCTGACTGCAGTGTAAATGACCAGATGCGGAATAATTATCCCCATTTATAAAGCGTCTCGCACACGCACAAGCATCAGAATTACCGCCACCTAACTCGAACCAGGTTCACCGAATCACCAAAGGCTCAGTTTCTTAATAGGGAAGCGCTTCCTGAATTCCAAAAATCTGAACGCAGTAGAGTGCAATCCAGAAACACAGCGCAAGTAGGAACTCCCGGCAAATACTGTGAATGGAACGACTCATTGTTGACATATTTCAAAAAGTTTTAACCTCAAAATATTCTATGAACAAGATACAATTCAGCTGGAAGATGAGATAAAGACAACATCCACAGGAAATTAGTAATTCCGCTTCCAGATTCAGGTTGTATAAAAAAAAAGTCCTGCAGGCAATAATCTATGAGTCCCTTGAGTCTGTAGAATTAATTTATTGAGATGAATACAATGGAATTAACAATTTAGAGATTTTAATGTGCATACTAATTTTGCCATATCTTCAGGAAAGAAGGATTAAAAGCTTGGAAGGCAAAAGATATGCTACTCTTTCATAGTAACCAGAAGGGCCCTGCTTGATAACCTCACGCTGTGCTCCAGCTCACATATTAAATATGAAATATTACTATTATTCCAACACACATATGGTTATATAGCAATGAAATATGCCTTTAAAGGCCTTCTCCGTTCCCTCAAATGATAACTGTTTGAAAGAACTTCAAAAGCAAAGTCGGATAGCAACATTTGCTTCACATTAGTCAGTTTTGCTTTGAACCCTGTTGAGCCACAACTTCTTGATTAAAACAGAAGAATAAGTCAGAGAATATGAGTTGAGCTTTAAGAAATGCATATCTGGACCTTGTTTTATTTCTTTTCCTTTTTTTTTTTAAACTCAACATTATTAACCTTAACTAGTTGTTGGCTGGTTGTTGATGTCTGCAGAAAATGAGGAAAACGGGCTTTTAATAGGTCTAAGATTGTCTCCTAAGATGACACAGGAAACAGGTCACTGCCTTTGCACTCTGCTCAACGCCATAATTCTTCTAGTGAGCGAATTTGTCCATCAGTACTCTTGCCCAGTGTGGACTTCGAGGTTATCTCAGTTTGAAGCACAAACAGAATCAAGACCACCTCACAGATCAGACAAGGGCGAGGAAATAAAATCATTACGAGCGGCTTCCATCTTCATACACCGTGTCCGCCGTAGGTAATTGACATGCTGGGCAGTTTTCGGTGTCCTTCTGACAATCTCTCTTGTACATGTGTGCCTGGGATTGTTACAGTAAGAAGGTGTCAGCCTCCCACTGCTATTGCCGAGCTCTATTCATAGCTGATTAATAGTGTCATTAGTCTCCGTGCCAGAGGTAATGAATTACTGGCATTAAGGCTTAACGAGGAAGGTTACTTTAGATCTGCATAATAATCTGGGTAACCCAGGCAAAAAAACCCAACTGGGACAAAGACATGCTTAACAGGTCGTCTTAGCGTTCAATGGAAGCAAAACACGTTTCAGAAATAAAGAAATGGAGCGGTGTGAAAGTTCTGACTAAAGGCTCATAACTTTTATCTTGTGCTGCCAACATCATAATCCCTGTGAGCGTCGCTGGGCAAAGCTGCATTTCCATCAAACTGGTCCGAGTTCACCGATAAGAGAGCCAGCCTAACTCACCGGCTCAGCCTTACACACCTCTACCGAGAGAACGGAAACCTAATGAATGTCTGCAGGAAGCACACACAGCACTATAACTACAGATAGCCTTTTCAGAAGGAATTCAGCAAGCCACGCCAGGCTCTTGCAAAATGGATTTTCTCAGGCCTGGTTTCCATGTCTAATGTAGTTCGGTAATGACGACGGCGTAAGACACTGATGTAGCACAGTGCTAATGGTCCATTACTGAGTCACTACTTTCATCTGGCCAAGAAAAGAAGAAGAACAATGTACTCAAAAAGCATAGTCGAGAGTCTTCAGAACAGCATCACAAAGAAGACAGTCAATTAAAACTGCCAGTCATCAGTTCCACATCACCCTCCACCCCCCTTCTCTCGCTCTCTCCCTTCATGTCCCGTCCCTATCTACACTACACTGCCATTTTCAATAAAGAAATGAAAGGCAAAGTAAATAAAAATGACAGCCTTTGTCATGTTTTATGCAAACACGGAGTAGTCGCGTTATGATAAAACCGAACAGCCTATCTGTAGGCCCGAAGGTTATTACAAAGAACTAGAAGAAATTTCCGCTGAACAAAGACAAAAACAATCCGTGGAGACATTAATTCTCTGAAATGTAAAAGAAACTGTAAGTAAGAACAGAGCAACTGCAAACTGGATCACTCTTATTGGTTCTCTAGTAAATGTAGCCAAAAAAAAAAGAAGAAGAAGAAGAAGAAGAATCGTTTTTCTTTCCTGGTGACAACTGTGGCTGTTTTTTGTTTTAAATAAATTCTGCTCTCCCTTCACTCTCTTTAAAGAAAAGACAGGAAAGATGAGCAAGCCTGACAGCTCATGACATTTGAGCAGCTCCTTAACGCACCGACAAAGGAAAGAGTCAGAAGGAGAAGACAAATGTTTCAAGAGAGACGTGAGAGGGGAGGAGGGAAATGAGCGAGAGCGAGGAAAAGTCTGACCAAGCATTCTTTTTTTTGGAGTCCCCTCGGTTCCTTTCAATTACCCTGTCGACAACAATAACAAACTCCATTTTTTAAAAAAGATTTTCTTGCTTTACAAGCAATACAGCAATAAATGAAAACCAATGACACAAACAATAAAAATACGAGACACTCATCAGCGAAGAAAAAGAATAAAAGAGAGAAAATAATAACAAGCCAGCCTGCCCACTACAGGGACACCCGTAGTTAGGAATATAATCTTTGTCTTGGGACCTTTCTTGCACTTGTATCCTGACACCTTATCACTAGCCAAGGGGGACGTGACAGAGATTCAGTATTGGATTGCTGAAGGGTGGAGTGTATTGGTAACTGCACGCATTCCCTCTAATCAGAAACAGTCGAGATTAAAGCGTAGCTCGAATCTCTGGAAAAAGACTGACTCACTGACATAATTCAGAAAGGAAAAAGTCTCAAACTTATTCTGTTAAAAAAAAAAAAAAAATCTCAAACAGCATCGCCTCCACATTCCTCTCCCTTTTCCTCCACCGCTTTCTAGGGCATGTTCACTCCCATCCAGC